TTTCCCTAGCCTTGTGTGCATAAATCCATTCACCACGCCCAGATTTCCCTCACTCCACTGAGAAGTCTGGCAACAAACATACTGTTCCAAGCCAGCTGGGACCGCACAAAGGCTGTTGACTCCACTCCTTCGGGCATATAGTAGAAGTTTCTGTTGGGATTCTCACAATGGAGGAAATGACATATAATCATTTGAATTCGACATAAATTGGATTAGTGATGTTTGTGAATGTAATGAGCTGCATATTTATTCACAAAAACATTATCCCAACCAAGCAAAAGTACGTGTTTGTAAAAATACCACTTACATTTGCTTCTTGCTCAGTAACCCCAACTTCTTGGGACCTCAGTGTGTTAAAGACGAAAAAGCTACTACTACCTTTGCTTTCCAAAGGAGGATAATTTTTTTTCTTTTGTTATCAAGCCTAACTCACTATCTCCCTTGGTCTTTCTGTTGTACAGAGAATGCAAGACAGCGTCAGGATGGGGTGGTGAGCAACTCCATCGTGTACTTCACTGAAGACCCCCCAGAACTGCCACCCAACAGTCCCCATCCACTGAAGCTGCGGCGTATTCTCAACCTGAGCCCTTTCACTGTCACTGACCACACGCCAATGGAGACCGTGGTAGATATTTTCCGGAAACTCGGACTCCGGCAGTGTCTTGTCACTCGCAGTGGGTGAGTAGATACCGAGTCAAGCATGCTTACAGAATCTCAGGCGATTTTCTTCAGCATTAACAAAACCAGCAATTTTCCTGTTTAAAGCCAAGTAGAGACAGTAATTAATCAGCACCTCTGAGACAGTCAAGTGAATATTTTGATTTTGTCTATTTTTTGCACCTAGTGTCTCTCCAGGGCAGCAAAGGAAATCAGACTCAGAACCAAAATGGCCCCTGCTGGGTGTCATGTTTCATTCTGTTCTCCCAAATCCTTAGTCTATTGTCATTTAGATAAGGTAAAGATAAATACAAAATAAACTGTTCTGACTCCCACTATCATTCAGTTTTCAACAGGGGCAGATCTGGCAAGTAGTATTATTTGCAAAGCATGTGCCTGTTTCTAGACCTCCAGCTAGGTTAGATGCTTGTGAAGACTGTGATAAAAATGTCAGTGGAAGAAAATTAATCTGTTCAGCTGTCTTTAAAGGAAAATGGAAAGGCGTATAATCCAAAAGTCCACAAAAACCAGCTGAAGAAGTATGGGCAGTCATGAAATTAGAAGAGTAAAAAGCTGCACCATGTGCAGTAGAAATAACATCCCACAATTCCAATGGGATTTGAGCTATTTGAGGATCATTGCTCATCCCAGGATCTAGTGGTAAGAAGAAACTTTACAACAGGATAGTAAAACCAGAGCCATCATTTTCAAATGCAGAAGGCTAAAATTTAGTCTTCTGCAAAAAGCCTTTTTGTTATTAAAAAATATTGTGTATCAGCTGTTACTATTGATGCAGTGTCCTCAGCATTAAGAAAATAAGGGCTATTATTGAGACACAGATTTAGGTCCTGATTTTAGGTGCCTGGATTTGGAAATTTTGATCTTGAGTTCTAACACTTACATGAAATGAAAGGTGCAAAAACTGTAACAATGACATAGTTTCAAAATTCAGTGCCTCATGGCCTTCAAGGACTGGAAGTAAAAGCCCTTGAATACTGAGGGTTAAGAAAATTTTGATTCTTGGGGCGAGACGTCCGGTAGGCCTCATATTTCCTGACAGATATAATTCATTTAGGATCATATAAATGAGAAATTATCCCTCGGACTTGAAGGAATTATCTGTCAGACAGTGAGAGTTTCAGAAAGTCGGTGCTTTAGCTTAGTTCATGTATTACTAAACCCCCTGCCCTAGCTCAGGGCACCGGTGCCTTGGTTTTGTGCTGTTGGTCCTCTGCAGCCTGAGCCTGAGGAAACATTACTTTGCTGGATAAAGTGTCCGTAGTTCCAGGTCCTCACTCTGTCATGTTCCAAAACAAAAAGAGATAACAACCCAAAGTATTTTTCTCAATGATCATGGCTGGAGTAGTAAAAATACATGAGATGAGAATGCTTTTTATGAAAGATAATCATTGAGGAATGGATGGGATGGATGGACAGTGTTATATGGAAGCACTCACAAAATGTCCCTGCAGCTGAACAGGGGAAAAACTCGCATGATATATGAGATGATCGTTGACCTTTCCTTTCCTTTTCTCCTCTAGGAGGTTGCTGGGTATCATAACTAAAAAGGATGTATTAAGACATATGGCTCAAATGGCAAACCAGGACCCTGAATCTATCATGTTTAACTAGACTGGTAAAGGAAGAAGGAAGTAACCCCAAAGGAATCCCGTCTAGATTAACACAAAGGCTACGTTCAGTGTTTCATTTTGTTTAAAGAGAAAACGTAATGTGTATGAGGAATGGCCCAATATGCCTCTGACAGAGGGAGTGGATGCAGGATGGCACTTATTTAATGAGGAAGGCAGTTTAGAAGCTCTGAGCAGCTGCAGACATCAAGCTGTGTTTTCTTAATGAGATTCTCAGCAGCTCAATTGGAGTGTTGGTGGGTGTAAGTAATGTGGTGCTTAGAGACAAAGAGCCGGCAGCACCAGTGGGATGCGTCAACAGTAACTCTCCAGGCAGGTGTGGAGACTAGCAGACACTGTTTATGTATAAGCTGTTAACAGAGGTAAAGATTTGTGTTCCAAACTACAGAGTGTGTATGAGTAACGTCAGTTGTTTTTGTTACGGAAATCATGGCTATTTATTTGCTACTGAATGATACCATTTTCATGAGGGAAAAAAATCATATTTTAAAATGCAAATTTTTGTCATCATCATTTATTTTTGTAAGAGTTAAGTGAATCAGGACTGGAGTTAAAGGAGCAAGAACACACTTCAATTCACTTTAAAATGTAGTGTCCCCTGCTCTAGTCCTTTGAATTTTATACAGTTTAGCATTTCTGTCAATCAGCTTCCCTTTATTAACGTTGAAATGTGACTTATTTGTAAGGATTTATTATTTCTCTATGCAATTTTGCATACAGGTACTGTAATATTTAGTATTATGTAGTTTGCTGTGACAACAGAAGCCTGTGGAGGAATTTTCAAAGGCACTAAAGGGAGACTGGTATCCAGCTCTCATCGATACTAATGACAAGAGATTGAACCCCTCACCTGTCTCCCCCTGTGTACATCATCATTTTTCAAAAACTAATGAAGTTCTGCATTGATTCCTGATTCTCCATTAAGTTCCTTTCCATCATTGCTATTTCTTGGCATTTGTCCGCACCTGCCAAGAGATTGCTGAAGTTAATTTAACAGTCCCAGACGCTTATTATGTAGCAGAGCATCTTTATGCATCTGCCAGTCACAGGACTGTGGAATCCCTCCCCACAACACTGTGGCTGGATAAGAGCAAAAAGGGACTGAGAATGCAAACAACAGCAAAGCTTTAATTATTGGTCTGTTTGCAGCAAGAACACAAGATGTAACAGCCCCCTGGTAGGGACCTCCAAGCCACTCAGGTAAAAATGCTAAATTTTCCTAAACCCTTGTTTGGGTCCTATGGAGATGCACAGAGTCAACATTGTCTGTGTTAATATCCTAGCACTTTAGTCAATACTGCTATCAGTAATAGAAAACCAAATTCTACTCTCAGTAACACATAATCGACAGTGCCCAGTGTTTGATTCATAACTATAAGCTTAAAGATTGGAGAGATACTGCATCCTAACTTAGAAGTCCTGAATCCCTCCAGACCAGCCGAGAGCCTGGTCCCTTCATTTAGGCATGTAAAAGACCTCTGGTATTTTTGTTCAAATTCATACAGATACTGGTAGCTCGAGTCCATTGCATCCAGATGGTCTTCACGGACAGAGATGAGGGGAGTCTTTTCATGACAAGAGAGCCTGTTGCTTACTCCAGACGAAAGCCAGACTGTTGATGCAACTTGTAGGCAACGTGCACGATTATTGTGTCCCTGAACTGACACAGTTAGCCAGGTGCACCCTCAGTTAGATGCCCAAAGTTACATGTCACAAATTCCTCCTCTTATCTCCGGTGACCCTGCTTCCTTCTGGCATGTGTCCCACTGCATTCGCACAAAGTATGGCCCAAATTGTTTAAGTAAAAGAAACGGAAATAAAGATATCATTTTAATCTGCTAAGTACTCCATTTAACAATAGTGTTTGCAACAGGCTGACATAAATATATTTAGCTCTGGCCAAAGCCCATAAATATTTCAGTGTATACTTTTTGTTAATTGAACATCTGCAGTACAATGTTTTATTAAAGGGATATTGTTAAAACTATGTAAACTATAGAACTGAGCAACCCTTTCCTTCTGAAAATAGGAAATGCAACATAATAGTTGGTTCTTATGTTTTTCTGTGAAGCTGTCATCAGCCAAACTCATAAAAATCCATCCAAGTCAACAACCAAGCTCGTAAACATTGCATTACCTCATTTGAACAGAGATGCCATCATAAAATAAAATCAGTTAATTCCCACAACTAAACACAAGCAGAGCTTAGTACAAGTGTTAGTTTCTACCCAAAACTACTAGAATCTAAGGGATTTGGACTAAGATAAATACTTTTCAGGGCAATCTTGTTCTGAAATTAAAATTGAAGGACTGTGTTCTACTTTTCACTTTTAATACGTACACGTTTGATGAACACTTCCTCCATCTTCCTTTATGTTTACATAGGAAACAAGAGTGCATACGGTCCCCACTTGAACACTTTTAAATACCTCTTTTGCTCATAAGCCAAGAGAAATAAGTTGGGAAGTGAATTCAGCTGCTATTGAAATCAAACTCAAGGCTTCATGTATGTCAGGGAAAAGAAGTCTAAAGCCTTCTCCGTTAGTGAAAGAAATTTCAATCCATGTTGCATTATAACATAGTCCATGACAGATCTAACTCTGAAGAGCATTCATAGTACTGAGGGAAATGTTTGCTAACAGGAACCAGAATGGTATATCAACACTGAAAAAAATGGTAATTTCCTGAGAAAAAGTCATGGAAGTCACCTAATTGAGGTTAAACTGACCATGAATACAAACTCACTTGGGTATTGACTTGGGTTATCATCTTAAACTCAGTCTGTGGCTATGCATAGGCATAAACTTGTGTAGCTAATTCCCATTAATATCCAAAGGCCAGATCCACTAGAACCCACAGTCAGCCCTGTGATAGCTTGTCACCTTGTCTTATTAGACTGTGTATGAGGAGCATTAAGGACTTAAGAGCAGGACCCATAAAATCAGAAGGAACTGAGATTTATGCACTTATTGTGGGTGCAGTTTGACTCTGGGAATAACCCCAAGCAGAAGGCAGGTAAATGGGTAGGTATATAGCTCTTTTCTATCAAACATGTTGCTCTTTAGATAGAATGGTTTAAATGTCTAAGGGGTCAAGGTAAAAAGCTTTGGATGTGTAACTGTACATAGAGTGTTGGACTTGCTGCTCCTTGTACCAGTCTGTTCAAAATACGTTAAACTCTCTTAGAGCAGGGACTGATATCTAGCTCTTCAGAAATGACCTAGTCACAACTAACTTCAGTTGCTTGCGTTATCAAGGCTGAGGTGATGCTGGAATGACAAGAAGGGTTTTGAAACTGGACAGACTTTGCTAATTAGAAAACTTAGCACTTCAGACACTTCCAGAGATGGTAATTGGCTGTAAGTCTTTCTTTTGAACTTCCTCCATGCTAAAGTCTTCATTGCTCTTTTAGCTTGAGTGGCTGGGTGGAGAACACTCTTAATACAAATTAATAATATGCTTTTCTCAAAAAATGCAGTTCTGATGTAATGATTTAATGTATTTCCCCATGACAAGCCCATTATCCATCACTGTTTTCCATCTGTATTCCCAAATACGTCTCAGAAGTTACTGAATAGGCTCCAAGAGGCATAGATCTCAGCCTTAAGTATTTATTTGAATTTTTAGAGCTCAAGATAGTCACGTAGCCTGATCCATCTGAGAGTTACGTAAGTACTTCAGTATATAGTGCTCACTTTATGCAACCTCAGTTCAATCCTCGTGTTCAAGCAGTTGGACTTTGAAGATGTCAAACTAAACAAGAGAACAAAAATGTTTGGATGATGCAGGTTCAGTATTGTACCTTTGTTTTGCATGAACTGTGTTCAGTTACATTCAGCTTCTGATGTGTACTTGAAGCAATCTGTACCAGAAAGTTTATTAAAGTACAGAACATGAATGACATTAGCCAGACCCTTTGGCTGTCACAGTGATACTAATTATTAATTCTTATGCTTTGATGAAGCAGAAAAAGAATGTTTAAGAATTACAGGAGACCCACTGATTCCGTGTTGGAATGACACTATAATTATGAATATTGTTTTGCTTTGTTTTTGTTTTTAACTGTAGAAAACAGTATATATGTTGCACCTTAACAAAACCAATGTTTGGACTCTATTTTTTAAATAAAACTGACTTACAGTACTGGAAACGTTTATTGAACATCTTATTAATTGGAGAAGTATTTCACTTAATGTCTCTGTATGGTTTTGATGTTTCCTTTTCTCACTTATAGGGATAACTCAAGCTTGATGAATGATTCAGGATATCTAATTCAGTTATGGGTTAGCTTAATATTAAGTAGGGAGTTAGTAAAGTTCGCGCAGTGGACTTCAAAGAATCAGCCTTGACTATGGCTGCTTTGTTTTCAGAGAGAAATGTTTTTTAGTTCAGCATCATAATTCCTTTATTAAAGAAATCTAAAAAGAAAAAAGATTTCTCCTACCACATTGTTCTGTTTACAGTCACCATGAAACTTCTTTAAAGCTAGATGTTGCAAAGTCCTTATGATTTCAGGTTTTGTATATATTTTTCAGTTGCACTTTAATTCAGAGCTAAGCTCAAAGACTGAAAATGGCAGGTTTAATCATGCACATTTAATTGGATGAAACATCCCTTAAATCTCTGTCAGAGGCGAACTTTTAGGTAGTGGCAAAGATTATGGGCTTCATCCTGATTAACTTACTAGCCAAGCAAGTAGAAAGGCACAAATGAGACATTAATCAATGGTTTATCCAAAAGAAGCTTTACTGATTTCAAGACATGCTCCAGAGAAGAAGTTTGATAAAATTGATACATCAGCAATATCCTAGTTTACATTAAATTACTCATTTCAGAAGCTGGTGCTGGAATCCCAGGGCCTCCAGCTTCTTCCATGGATTGCTGTGGCGCTAACATGGCCCAATGTACACACCAAAAAGCCAGGAGGCATCAGGCGTGCAGCACTTAAATAAGTAGTAATAGTTCCTGTAGTTTGTAGTTGGT